GGCTCTGATTGCCACAGCCAGTTTGTGCAGTCCACAGACTACCGCCCCTCAGAGAAGAAGAGGAGGATTTCCATGCCCCAGAGATTCACGTCAGACAAGCATTCAGGGCACTCTGGGAATGATGGCGTTGGATTACGGCCCTGGCTCAAGCAGAACGGAAGACTAGCACTGCGTTGATTAGCGAAGGCATCCTTGTTTTCGACACGCCTTCTCAGACATGAGGGAATGATTTATCTAAGTAGATGATAGTGATAATAATATAGAACTATTATTGTAATATTTTACAATACATTATTACATGTTATATCTATTCAGTAGTAGATAGTAATAGTCGAATAAATATTATTAAAATAATAAAATAATAAATACTAAAATACTTTAATCAGAATTATTTATTCCACAGTGTAGATCATTATAGCTCCAAACATAGTGCAGTATTTGGAAACAGTGTTGAAGCAATTCTATTAAAGCTAACAAAACAAATATGAAGCAGAGATTGATGTTACCCCTGCCAAGGGCCATGGGCAAATCGCTTTCTCTCAGGCTCAAGGAGTAACCTTGATGGCTGTCCCCACTCAAGGCAGGAATCCCCACACACACTCCAAGAAGGGGCTGTTAGAAGTCCCTCCCATTAAAATCTGGGAACAGGGCTTTTCTAGTGTAAGGTGACGGAGTGCCAATCAAGTGTTGCTCAGGGAGCTGTGCCAGCCGGAGCTGGATGCTCTGCCTAAGCAGGGATACAGCAGCTCCAAGTGCGTCTTGTTCATGATTTGTCAGTGATGGCTTGAGCAAGGATGGTCTGCTGATCACTGATAGGAGTGAGCAAGGAGAGTCTGCTGGTTTTAGTGTTGAAGAATGCTGATGGCCAAGCTATCAGCATTCTGATAGCTTGGCCAAACTATCAGACCCACTACTGGAGCCCAAAATGTCAGGATAAATCAAACTCTCAAATACTATTTTGAGTACTAGGAGGCAGGTAATACTTTATTTCGTGGGAGATCGCTCCTCTAAAGATGCGCGTGCAAGTTCAAAACTTTTCACGATTTACACATTTTACCAAACAAAGAAATTACTGTTCATGGGCTAGAAATCGCATCACTCCATTAATTAGTATTCTATCTTGGTTATTGATTTCTTGCTTCTCATGCTACTAGTCCATGTTTTAGGTGCTTTCCTTATTTCTCCCAGATAGACAGGGTTTCAGTACAATTGTCAAATTGTCTTTGTTACTTCCTTCTTTGTCTCGGGGTTCTGCACAATGTCCTTATGGCTCATAAATTCTGCATTCCTTGTGTCCCATTTCAGCAATATCTCTCTTCCCCTGGCCTGAGATCATTGAAGCATATCAAGGTTGATTACGGTTGTTTTAACAAAACTCAAAGTTTCAGTAATTTTCCCAAGCTGCATTCCCGCTATAGAAGCTTATGATAAAACCTTACTAAATGCTGGCTATAGTGGGGGATCACAGAGTGGAAAAGAAGAGTACTTACAAAAATTAATGAGGAAAGTTAAGTAAAATTACTGAGTAAGCCTGAAAACGCATCATCTAAAGATGTATGGGACTGATAGTCCATCACTTTATACATTCAAAGTCCAGTCCCACTTTTGCATGCCAAGGACTTCTAGCATACCTCCCTAAGGTGTTTGAAGATCCTTCCTTTGAGTGGGGAAGCCCCTCAAGGTCACTCCTCAAGGCTGAGCAAAATAGATTTGCCCACGGTCGTTGGTAGGAGTGAGTAACATCGATCTCTAATAAGATCTAATCTCTTAATAACTCTTTTGCTAGCTTTAATAGAATTGCTTCAATAGAATTGCTCACTGACAAAGCTCCCCAAGAATGGGCTGTGCCTTCTACTGGCAGCATTCCACCCTGGGGCTCCAGGACTCCCTGGCCAGGCTGAAGGTCCGCATGCGGCCCAGTGCTGCGCTCAGCTCTGGCACCGCTATGGTGCGCGCTGCCCTCGTGGAAGGCCCCATTCACCGTAGAAACAGGATCCCCATAGTCCCTCATCCTGGGCTCCCCCATCCCTGGCCTCACACCTTTGTGTCCAGGGCAGGCCCTGCTATGGAGAGCAGAGAGGCTCTTCTGCCACTCTGGGGGTGCCCATGAGCTGTGCAACAGCTCCAGTCGCCAAGTGCAGGGCTGAGCTCTCCATGGGACTGTGTCTGGCTTCAGGCAGATCCATTTTTCTTTCCTTGTCTCTTTTCCACTCATGTCCCAAGCATGCATTTCAGGTATTAGTCAAGATATGATTTTCAAAGATCTTTAAAATCTGCTGCCTGTCCTTACTTCATCATTAGTAAGTTTATTATAAGGAAATTTCTACTGAAGAATCAAACCTAACTTTCTCATTACATGGGACAAGAATTAGATTTCCCATTTTATGCTAATGCCGAGTACTTGGAAGAAAAAGGTTTCCTGGTTCTTATTTGCTCTGATGTTGATTTGGTTATCCACTAGTAGAAAGGAACAAACAGGCTGTCTACCTACCCTACTGCAGTAATTTATTTTACATCCCAGATATTTATGTCCATTTATTTATAAAAATCTGATGATACTCACTGCACTGGAAATATTTAGACCTGACAAAGCAAGGCAATGACATTCAATATTTATCTATAAGAAATATCTCTAATATTCTGGGCCATTGATAAGACCTATGAATCTCTCCTGTAAACTGTTCCAAAACAAAAGAATACTGTAATTCTGTGCTTTATGAATGCATTTCCTTTCTGTTTCCTTCTCTCCAGAAAGTACTGCACCAACAAACATTTCATGGCACTGAAGATCTCCCTATTCCTCAGGGTGTAGCTCATGGGGGTGATGAGGGGAAATACCATGGTGTGGGACACAGCCACTACCTTGCCCAGAGGCAACGTGTAGAAAGGCCAGCAGTAGATATATGTATACAGCTAGTACAAACATAACAAAGACTTATTGTGGGTAGCACAGGTAGTTGCTACTTTGCTCTCCCCTCTGGAGATCGAGTGTTTTCAGACAGATTAGTAGGACATTGTAGCAAATCAGCAGAAAAATGAAACATATAAAGATGACTAGGTCACTGTTGACAAACATGATAAACTCCAATATGTAAGTGTTGGTACATTCTAACTTAATCACTTGTGTAACATCACAAAAGAAGTTGTTGAGTTCATTTGGGCCACAGAAGGGAAGATGAACAACAAATACAACCTGGATGAATTTGTGAATCCAACAGCCCATGCTGTCCCCACCAAGACCCAAAAGAGTGTTTTCCTCATTAAGGTTTCATAATGAAGGTAGCCACAAATGGAATAACAATGGAACAGGCTAAGGTCTCACTGGTTAGGAGAGAACTTTGCAGAAAAACATCTGGGGGCATCCAAGTGGACAAAGTGAATATGAATGGGCAAAATGCCTTTGCAGAAAAGGGCAGGTGTATCCTGGGCCGTGCTAGCAGCAGTGATGCCACCATGACAAGTGAAGGGATACTTTCCTTTTATTCAGTACTTCTGAGATCCCATCTGAAGCATGGTGTCCCGTTTTTCTGCTCCCTAGAACAAAGAAGATACTCCTATACTTGAGTGAGTCCAGAGGAAGGCCATAAAGATGGTGAGGGAGCTGGTGCACAAAATGCACAAGGGAAGACTGAGAAAGGTGTGTTTTGCAGGTTTGAAAGGAAAAGGGTCAGGGAGATTTTATCACAGAATCACAGAATATGCTGAGTTGGAAGGGACCCACAAGGATTATTGATTGAGTCCAGCTCCTGGTCATGCACAGGATCATCTCGAAGAGTTGGACCATGTGCCTGAGAGTATCATCTAAATGCTTCTTGAGCTCTCTCAGGCTTAGGGCTGTGACCACTGCCCTAGGGAGCCTATTCCAGCATCCAACCACCCTCTGGGTGAAGAACCTCTTTCTGGTATCCAATCTAAACTTTCCCTGACACAACTTCAGGCCATTCCCTAGGCTCCCGTTACTGGTCCTCACAGAGAAGAGACCAGTGTCTAGCCCTCCTCTTCCCCTCCCGAGGAAGTTGTAACTGCAATGTCATTTCCCCTCAGTCTCCTCTTCTCCAGCTGAACCAACCAAGTGCCCTCAGCTGCTCCTCACATGGCTTCCCCTCAAGGCCCTTCCCCATCCTCGTTGCCCTCCTCTGGATGCTGTCAAATGGCTTGATGTCTTTTATTTATTGTGGTACCCAAAACTGCCCCAATATTGCAGGTGAGGCCATCCCGGGTCAGAGCAGAGTGGGACAATCCCCTCCCAGGCCCAGCCTGATGCCCCCCAGGACACACGGTTGGCCCTCCTGGCTGCCAGAGCACCGTTGGCTCGTATTGAACTTGCCATCAACCAGGACCTCCAGATCCCTTTCTGCAGCACTGCTTTCTCATTCCCCAGTCTCTCTGTACATCTTGGGTTGCCCCATCCCTGGTGCAGAATCGATCACTTGCTGTTAAACATCATACGGTTTGTGAAGTCCTCAAGTGAAGTCCCAGCCCTCTAATTTGCCAAGATCTCTCTGCAGCACCTTTCTGCCTTCGAGGGAGTCAACAGCTCCTTCCAATTTTGTATCATCTGCAAACTTACTTAGTATCCCTCCAGTCCTGCGTCCAAGTTTATGAAGGTGTTTGTGTTGGTTTCAAGGTAAACCGGCAAGGGAAATGAACCCAACTCAAAAGAGATTATAAATCAGAATAACAATTTAATAAAAATAATACAATAAATACAATTATACAGGTGAACAATTGGTTTTAACCCACAAAACCCAGATGTATAATCCAGCACCCTGGGGCACGAACAGAGCGGTGTTCATTGACCCCCCCGAGTCCAAAGTAAAAGGAGAGGGAAAAACCTGTTGGTGAGAGTGCTGGTCACAGTCCGGTCGAGGGTGGTGACCACAGTCTGGTCGAGAGTGCTGATCACAGTCTGGTCGAGAGTGGTGGTTGCAGTCCGGTCGAGGTTGTGGTCCTCCTTTGGATCCAACAAATGGTACCAGAAGTCCCAGGACCCCAAGATTATATGCACTCAGGTTCAGGCAGGAATGTCCAGTACTTCCCCCAAGGCGGGGAGTTCCATAATGGGTGAGATATTTTTGGAATCCTTAGTGGCCTGTTAGCAGACATAACCCCTCCGGCTGGGTGTGGAGGTGCTAATGACTCCCTAGAGGGGAGTTAACATCACCCATAACTATAGCCTGAGGAGTCAGGTGTGCTCTGGGCAGCTGCTGCAAATGGTCTACTGTTAATAGTTTCTGGGAAATTACATGGAGGGTGTAGAATACACAGTGTATGTTACACCCACACGGTGATGAACTGGTCCCAGCTGTTCTAACAAGGACAGTGTTGAACAGCACTGGGCCTAAGATGGAGCACTGTGGAACTCCACTACGGATAGGTCACCAGTCTGGTGTCACCCCGTTCACTATTACCCTCTGTGCTTCGCCCATGAGCCAATTGCTTACTTATCATATGATGTGTTTGTCCAGCTGTTGGCTGGACATTTTGCCCAGAAAGATCCTGTGAGAAACAGTATCAAAAGCTTTAGTGAAATCCAAAAAGATTGCATCAGCTGGCTTCCCTTGGTCAACTAAGTGAGTTAGCTTGTCCTAAAAGGTCAGAAGATTTGACAAGTATGACTCCATGCTGGCTGTGACTGATGATTGCATTGTCCTTCAGGTGTTTTTCAATACCTCCTAGTGTCCCAGTGTACAGGTTCCCAGAATCTGAAGTGATGCAATTTTATCTTTATTATCCTCTTCTTTATGGTGTAAACTCTACTAAATCACTTGAAATGATCCTTGACACAATCTGTATCCTTGACACAACCTTTGTTTCTGTCTTATTGGGATCAAAATGAACTAGCCATTCCTGGGGCAAAACACCCTCATACGCTTCTCCCATTTGAATGACTAATTCTACATCCACTGTCTTAGCTTAGCAAAGAATAAGTGAAGAGTGAAGAGGTAAATTAGGATCCCATGAATCCTCCAAGTGAGTACATAGTAAAACCAGAAGAAAAAAAAAGGAAAAATAATTAAAGTTTTAGCCACACTTTTAAAAATTTCATGTCTCAAATCAGCTTCCCTATGACTATCCATTTCCTTAACATTCAAGTAGTTTCTGTCATTCCACAGTCAACCTTTTTTTTACACAAAAAGAGACATTGTTTTCTGCTTTCAATTCAGAAGCCTAAGATATACATATATTGGTATAAATTCATTATTTTGATTTCAAAAACAAACATACAGCAATGAAGATGTCTAAGTGATAGGTTGTCTCTTTCTATGGCAGAAATCTGGTTTAGAACAGATAAACTGTGTATTTGAAGCAAAGAGAAACCTTACTCCTTCAAACTTTCAAATAAGCTTTCTTCACAAAATAGAGTTGAAGAGCTCATCTGGGAAATCTCTTCATCAGAACTCACCAGAAGATTAATGTCTTAAATATTTGCGTAGTACTTCTAATTAGGTCCATTGTCCCCTTCTCTGATAATTTCTTGCACTCGTCATAGTGTGTTTTTGGAAAAGCTACACAGAAATGTTTTCACAATATTCAGAGAATATAGTGAATTTCATCTTATCACAGGTAAATACACCTGCAAAGCAAAGAACTATTGCTGTATTGATGGACAGGACATAGAGGATGCAGTAGCAGGTGATTCACTTGAGCTGGATGCCAAACCTATCTTAAAATGATATAAGAAAGAATCTGAAAAGAAACAACCTTTTTTTTTTTAAAGGCTGAATTACCTGGAGGATTGACTCAAAGGTGGAAGGTAGAGATTAATTTCTGGGTAAGTGCTGGCAAATCATATTGTCCTTCCAACAATGCACACAATATCAAAGCTACTACTACATTTAATATAATTCATAAACATATTACATATTTCTATTTTTGACTACAGCTCTTTTAAAAGGCTTGTTTCACCTCTTTGTTCCTCAAGCTGTAAATCAAGGGGTTCATCACTGGAGACAACAGTGTGTAAGAAAGAGAAAGCAATTTGCTACTGCTGCTTGAATAAGAAGCTTTGGGTCTCAAGTAGGTCACAATGCCAGGTCCGTAAAACAGAGTAACCATGACTAGGTGAGAAAAGCAGGTAGAGAATGCTTTTCCCTTGCCCTTCACTGATGGTATCTTGAAGATGGTGTGGAGAATCTGGACATATGACACAACTATGAATAAGAAGAGGACTATGATGAAAAGGACAGCTATTATGTAGGTGGTGATTTCATTTTTGCAGGTGGTCACACAAGCCAACTTAAGCAGAGGCAGCAGGTCACAGAAGAAGTGACTGATCCCTTTGGGACCACAGTACGGAAGGGTAAAGATGAAAGTTGTCTGCACTAAGGCCACCAAGACCCCAGTAAGCCAAGGCACAGATGAAAGCAAGAAGCACGTGTTCCAGCTCATCATGGTCATGTAATGCAGAGGGTGGCATATGGCCACATAGTGGTCGTAGGCCATGGCAGCCAGCAAACATCATTCTGTGATCCCGAGGAGGGAGAAGGCATACATCTGTGTGGCATAGCCCAGAAAGGATATGTTCTTCCTCTTTGTGAGAAAGTTCACTAGCATATTGGGGATGTGGATGTGGTATAGCCAATCTCCAGGAAGGAAAAGTTCTTAAGGAAAAAATACATGGGAGAGTGAAGGGCAGTATCTACCTTTAACGAGAAGATGCAAAAAGGAGTTCCAGAATCAAAGACACATCCTCATGGAGGTACAGTCAATGCTCGACTTTATTACAAAATTACACAAATTATATAGGGTCCTACAGGTTCACACGCTCTACTCTAGCTCTCTATTGGTTACATCCGTTTATTATGCTATAGCTATAACTCTATTGGCTCACCTATCCATGGCACGCGCTCTGATATTTCCCGGCCCTCCCATCTTGTGGTTTCTAACACCCTGGATAGCATACTCTTTTCTCGTTTACCTCTATGCAGCTTTCTCATATCTACTGCTCAAGAACACACATCTGCTGCTCAAGGACACAGGTCCTCATTGTCTGGCATGTAGGATTGTGCAAGCAGGCCTGAAGCAATATGTTATGTCCTTTATCGTCTAAGATACTCTCAACATCTACCATAGTGATTGTGATGATGAGGATGTTTCCCACCAAAGTACTGAGGTACATGAACAGTAACAGACAAAAGAGAGAACCTTGGATCTCTGGAATGCTGGAGAAAGGTAAAAATTGGAAATAGGTCACCACAATGTGATTACTGCTGTCCATGTCCCTCAGGTGTCTTTTAACTGCAGAAGTCATTACATGTCCATTTTCTAGTTAATCTAAAGAAATACAAAATAGTAAATTGAATCTTTATATATATTACTTTCTAATAGAACAAGATCCCAGAAAAGGAAAGTGCTGTGTTTAGGTATTTTTAGTGGTCATTAAAACTCAGAAATTATTAATTTGTTGACAGAATGGGTGTTTGGCAATGAGTCCCTCTTGCTATCATTCCGTGAGCGGGGTTCATTCCAGGAAAGAATTACCTACTGAACACAGATAATCCTGTATACTCTGCACAGTACCACACAAAACTACTAAATAATGTGGATTGTACCCCAGGAAATGGCATTTGTTCCAGGCATTCTTCAGGAGGAGTAGCTTTTTTCAAGAATTAAAAATTTCTTGTAATTGATCTTCTATTCCAATAAACCATTCACTTCATAGGCAGATAAGTCTCTCTTAAAGACAAGTCCTGTGTAGGTGGCAGAGAACAATAAGATGGGGAAGAAGAGAGAGAAGAATGAAGTAAAATAAAGTAGCTCACCTGCCAGTAGGAGAAGGCTGTGGTTAATATTTTTGGAAAAGCCACACTACAAACCTTAACTATTTCTATCTGTCTATGTTCCCACCGAAAAGTAATCTTTTGGTTATTTTGGTTATTTGCTAGCAATTGCAGGAGTCAGGGGGTTTTTTTGCATTGTTTAGGTATGACAGAGCCCTCTCTCTGCTTTTCCTGTTAGCTCCTGGAACAAACTAAAGAAAAACCTATGGAACACTTGCATATCTATTTTAATCTGTTATTTTTTTTACCATTCATGGCATTAGGCCTGATCCTGCCTAAATTAAGGGATAAAAATTTGGTATGGAAACAAACCACATAGACTAAGCACAGGAAAAAAGCTTTAAAGGTTTTGCAGGGGGAAAGAACTTGCGCATTGCTCATGTCTAACTCTGACTTTATACTCTTTAATTAATGGTGTGGGAAAGGTGTCCCCTGAGAGAACACATCATGCCAACTCAGATAGGTCCTTCAGATTTCTCAGAAATTTTCCTCTATGGATATTTCTGCCCTCTATGGATATTTCTGTCTTTATTTGGGTGAATCATACTATGCTTCTGTTTAATTAAACAAAGATCCAGCACTTTGTAGTTGTCACTTACCATATCCAGAAGACACCTACATCACAGTAGGTGGTTCTTCCCTGAAAAATCACTTTCCCTTTGTTGCTTACAGAAGATGATTGTAATGCAGAGGTCACTCTACAGTCAATGACTAAAGATAAGAGTGGACAAAGACAGTTCTAAGGCCAGGTGAAATAGGATCGGTTTGAATGAGATGTTGACACTGTCAGTGTGGATATCAGTCAGTAATTCCACTTTTAATCAAATATAACTCCCAGATTTCTGGAACTGGCTGAACTTTGGTCAAAAATTTCTGAACATTACGAGTGAAACTTTCCTGTACTCATTCAAATAAACAACATCTATTAAAAAAAAATCTAAGTTCATCACCTGGGCCCTGTTCTGATCAGTGGGGCTGGGAAGGGGTCAGGAGGAACAGGGGGAGCTGTTCTCCATCATGTGATTTATCTGAAAAGCTACAGCACGTGTCTGTCAGAGTCAGACCTGGGGATAGTCAAATCTCGATGCAGATTTACTCTGATCCAAGTTTAACTGGGGCCTGTTTCAGTGATAATGGCTGATTGAAATGACATCCTGCCAGTTAACAGGCTAAGTGCACACTGCTTTACCTCTGACTATGGAAGATGGACATTGCCTCTGGCATTTAAAGGGACATTGTGCTGAGATAGCCGATGCAGGGTTGCTAATGGATCTAAATAAGAAACCACATCATAAGACCACAACAAATGACTAAATAAAAAAGATTTTTTAATAAGATATAATAAAAATCAAGTTGAGTGACGAACAAATCTTATGTCCCTTCCAGTCCTGGAAACCTTGCTCTCATGCAGAAGGGAATGAATTTTCCCACGGTGTACTGCATAGATCCTGTCCACAGAGGTAGCTCTTCCTTTTGATCATTCAATCTACTATATAATTCCATTATAATAAAACAACTTTATTCTTAAAGGATGTTCTCATGAGAACTTGTTTCAATTCCAGACACAGGCCAGGTCACGCAGGTAGTGGTGTCACCAGTAAGAGTGGAAGCTGCCTGCTTACCATGAGCTGCTGAGTTTAACCTGTGGCCAAGAGATGAGCACAGACCAGACCTGAGTGTCATCCTGGATGTTCAGCACAGCAAAGGCTTAGGCCTTTTCAGGTGAACTGCTACATGCATCACTACTCCTAAACACACATTGGTCTCCTGCTCAGGGTCAATATCAGCTGAAGTGATCTTAAATGAAGACCATGGGCCTATGGACAGAGAGTATGGTTGGAGACCATAGGGTAGGGTCGTTAAGGCCTTTTTGTGCACTCATGGCCTTCATATGTTGCTTTGCAATTTATCATCTCCCTGCAGATACCTACAAGGTTGTCATAAGGTGCAGGTCCTCTAGGTTTAGATGACAAAGTTGATGATAATTCTGTGTCTTCATTCTTGGTTTGGGGGTCTGAATATCTTTTATAGTCAATGGAGAAAAACAGGCACTTCCATGGCTTGTTTCACCTGATTCTGATATACTGTAAAGATTAAGATGATCTCTCTCTCCTGAGACTATAAAGGTACTCTAGATGACTGACTCTGGCCAAGACCTTTACAAAGTTGACAGTTTTATTGAAGTGATTTGTGATCACTTGTAACTTGCAGCCTTCCATTCCTGTCTCAGCAGGATTTATAGTCCCATATCAATGTGGACTGTACCTCTGCTTCACCTTCAAATTTTGTTGAGAAAGCATAAATATGACAAGCTTATGTGACTACCCTCTCACTAATTTGGTGATGATTATGAAGTAATAGTAATTGCTTCAAAGTCAAAGACAGCTCTTGATGTTGCATGAGAACATCTAGGTTTATATAGAAGTGTATTCCAAATTATCTAAAACTGAAGAGACCAAAAAGGGTGTCTGTGAATCAACTAATATATGTACACCACACTTAGTAACCAACCTGTGAGTAACAACTATGCTTTATTGCTCTAATCAGCATTAGCAAGTCTCAGTGGACTTTATAAATATATATATAGGATATAGTGCTGGGGAAAAACACCTCTCATTATTCACTGCAGAATGCTCAGAGTAGAATGTTTTTCTGGAGACCTCATGATTTAGGATTTTTTCCTTCCTCTTTTCCACCACACTCCCCACAAGGTAACTTCAGAATACATGACTGCCATAAGCTGTGTATCCCACAAGTAAATCCTTGTGCATGCAAAGCCTGTCTCTTCTAAGGGCCCTTTGACCCTTTTCATGTTGTATAGCCTGGCCATGAGTACAGTCACAAGATGCTTTGGACCAATTGACCTTGCATGCATCCCCAGAGTAGATCACTTAAATAACAGAGAAATTATCTTTGTTATATTCAAATGTTGCTACTGATGCTGTTGGAACTTGAACTGATTAGTCCATAAAAAACATTTGCTTTTTTGTTTTTTTCCCTTGTTCTGCAGGGTAAAAACTGTAGCTGAGCATTGAAGACACTAGCAAATATGCAAACTTTAAAGGCAGTGCTATGAAAAGAAACCTCAGTCAAAAACAGAGACAAAAACATATACATAAGACCACTTAATCTCTTCAGAAGACTTTTTCAAAATCTTGATAATTTCTAAATTCTACTCATCCTTTTGCCTATTCAATCAGGTAGTGGTATTTGGATTGCCAATTTGCCTGTCCGTTTACTACTCCATCAACTACTGAGTGCAAAAACAAAGAGAGAGTAGTTCTACTAGGTACCAAAGAGGGATGATTCTTGGGAACCTCAGTGAAGTGAGTGAATTCAGACTCCTGGGTTTTTCTGAAATCTCTCATTTGCATCCTTTGCTCTTTGTAGTTTTATTATCTCTTTATATTCTCACCTTGATGGCTAACACAGTGATAGCTTTGATAATGAATGGTGATAACACCCTTCATTCCCCTATGTATTTCTTCCTCACTCAGCTGTCCTGTTTGGATATCTGCTATTTGTCAGTCATAATCCCAAATATTCTTGAGAATCTGATGGTGGGAACAATAGGTATTTCCAAGGCAAGATGTGCAATGCAAATGTTTTTCTTCCTTTTCTTTGGAGTTGCCGAATGTTTTCTCTTGGCTGCCATGTCACTGGACCGTTACGTGGCAATATGTTGCCCCTTGCATTACACTATTGTCATGAACAGTAGAGTCTGCAAAAGTCTGGTTGCTGGAACTTACATTTGCGGAACTGCTGTGGGCTTGGTACACACCATCATAACATTCAGCTTACCCTTCTGTGGTTTTGCCATCAACCACTTTTTCTGTGAGATTCAACCCCTCTTGGACCTGCTTTGTGGTAACACTTTCCCAAGTGAAATTCAAGTCATTGTGGTGGCTGTCTTTGCTATTTTGTGTCCCTTCTTTTTGATCATTTATTCATATAGTCGCATAATTTCCACAATTCTTCTGATGTCATCAGCTGAAAGCCAGCAGAAAGCATTTTCCACTTGCTCCTCGCATCTTTTAGTTGTGATTCTTTTTTATGGTACAGCAAGCTCCATGTATTTGCGGCCAAAATATACCTATTCTGCATCTGTTGATAAATTCCTCTCACTTTCTTATTCTGTGGTGACTCCTTTATTGAATCCTATTATTTATAGTTTGAGGAATGAGGAGGTGAAAAGAGCCCTCAGAAAAAAATGGAGAAATATTAATTTAGTGTGGAAATGCAACAGAATATTTGCATTGTTTCAGGTGGTTGTAGTGGTATTTTTCACTGTAAATTCTTGTTCAGTAAAAGTAAATTCCAGATAATTCCCAAGAACACTTCAGCTTTTGGAGAGGAAAGAAAGAGTGGAGATGTTGAACTGTAAGAAAGAGTGTTAGATGCTATGTTAGGATTTTGAAAGGAAACTTCTTCCACATACTGAAGAAATTCTTAAACAAATAAACTTTTTTTCTTTTCCTTGCTATTTGTCAGAAAATTGTGTTTTACCTGTTTCTGACTTTTTGAACAAAAGAGTAATGTCCA